GCTCCAGGACAATATTGATCCTTACCTTCAGTTGGGTTTATCTGACAGGGTGTACCCCCCATGCCTAGCCATGCCCTCGCGATTTTGGGATGAGAATCCATTGGATTTTGGGATACGATGGGGTACCCAGATGGATCAGACAAACCCAGATGGATCATTTCGAGGTATGCCTTCTTCGGCATCTGCTTCTGTACAAGCTATGGAGCTGTGGTTGGCGGAGGTGTCTCCGAAGGTCCGGAGATGTCCGGAGCGGAGCGAGCGGAGCTGGTTTTTGCAGCGCAGCTTGGGGTGGCTTTAGCCACTGAGAAAAACGGGTAGATCGTGGACAATCAATATCTAGACATCACGTGGTTTTTGGGTGTTTTGGTAATTTGCGTTTATCAAACAGAGGGTAGTGTTGTCCAACCAGCTGCCACTGACATTTTTGGGCCCACGTCTCTGAAAGATGCTTCGTGTTACAACATCGAGTCTCCGGGACGCTTGTTTTACTCACGTTCGACGTGCTAGTACAATAATGATATCTTTCTGTTGCTTTCGAATTGTAAAAGGACTAGAAGCCCAACTAACACAATGTGGGGGTAACCTTGAAAGCACTAGCCAATCTCGTTGTGAGCCATAGTGGTCCACTCCACTAACCAATCTCGTTGTGAGCCATAGTGGTCCAGTACGTCTTCATAGTTTGATGGCACGTGAACACGATGCCAAGGTTCTGTTGACATGTCCTGATGGGCCAGGGCTTGTAGACACATAGTGAGAGCACTGTAGTAGGTTGTGGCCATTCTTGGCGCGCTCTGCGGTAAGGCTCATGCAGCAATGGTCGGGGGATCAGGCTCACACAAGAAAATGGCACCCCAGCGAATCCAACCAGATGCAAATCATTTGCAACTGGATCACAATCAAGCAACAAACAAGATTCTCAACCAAAAAGAGACATGTGCCATGATGCATGCTATGATCAGTCATGGATCATTCAACTTCCAAGTCACATCCCCAGCATGTCATCCGCTGATTAGATCACTGATATTTAGAAATTAGCAGCTGCTCAGTAAGGGCTTGTGGCCCTCACTATGGGCTGCTGGGCTTCGCGGTCTCCATCACAAGCAGCAAGTCTGAAAGGCGGATGTCACCCAGGGGGGACGATGTAGACCGAGGGAGAAGACTAAGATATATCTTGCCATTTTGGTTTATCACCACATGTTGAACAACAAGGCGATAAAAAAGCACATGGTTTCACTAGGAGGGTATATATATATATATATTTTTACACACTGTATCTATCTATCTGTCTATCTATCTATCTTTCTATCTATCTATCTATCTCTCTCTCTCTCTATCTCTCTATCTCTCTATCTCTCTATCTCTCTATCTCTCTATCTCTCTATCTCTCTTTCTCTCTATCTCTATCTCTATCTCTATCTCTATCTATCTATCTATCTACCTGTCCGTCCGTCCGTCCATCTGTCTGTCTTTTTTGTGTAAATGGATGTACCCTCCAAAGAATCAACTAACACACAATAAAACTAATACGAATTGACATAAACGAATATATATATATATATATGTGTGTGTGCGTGTGTGTGTGTATTTATCACACACATATATTATCATGGAATAACATAGCTAATCCATATAGATCAAAATAAATGATCCAACTCATATGGCACATCGACAGGCCATGGATGTACAGAGTGAAGCCCGCTCCTTGCTCTCAGCCTGGCTTCGCCATGAGGCGCTGTGGTAAACGGTCCACCATAGAACAAGATGTGGAAAATCATGGGAAATCCATGAACATCCATGCTTTCCTGTTTGGAACATGATCTACAAAGTTGCTGAGTTTTCTACATCTATGCTAGTCTACAAAGGGCAACTCATCTCAAACGACAGAATATGCCTTAATTTTGGGGATGGTTCGAAGTTCCACATCTCCCAAAATCCACATGTTGTTTCTGCTTGGCTGATTGATGTTGATTCGCTGATTTAACATATTTCGTTGCTGACATCTGGTCCGAGATCACCAAACTCATGTGGTCAGAAGCCGCCAAGTTCCGGCGAAATCCCCATTATCATCCCATGATATCCCATTTTAGTCCATTATAGTTAATATTTACCAGTAGTACCCGCACGATGCGGGGCGGAAGTTGCCTTAGGGTTATACTATAAGACCTTTGCCATCTATAGAACTTGCATGCGCCGTGCGCCAGCCAGGCCCGTGCGTGCGTGCTTTGTGCGAAGCTGTTGCGTTGTTGTTGTTGTTGTTGTTGTTGCTGTTGTTGTTGTCGTCCAAGAACAACACCTGCGCACGACCCCGGCGCAATGCAACGCCAAGCAAACACTTTCTTCGCACTGCACACTGCAATCTTCACACCCCGCACTTCACACCTCACACTTGCACTTCACATTCCACAGTTCATCTCATCTCATTTCATCTCTTCCCATATGTCAGCTAAGTTCTACTTACCTATTGCTATTTCATCGGAGCACAGCTCAACCTTTCTCATCTCACCGAAGCTAGTCTCAACTCATCTCGTCTTTTCTGCACATCAGAAAGCTTGAGACACAGATGCATTTACACAGAAAGGTCTTTACAAAATACTTTGTAGTACAAAGCTCGCATAAAGTATTTGCCAGTGCTACTTTGCACTACAAAGCCTGCACAAGCACGTCCCAGTACTTCTTTGTATTACAAAGCTTGCTCAAAGCACTCCCAGTATATACTACTTTGCACTACAAAGCTTGCACAAAGTACTTCCCAGTACTACTTTGTACTACAGAGCTTGCACAAAGTACTTCCCAGTACTACTTTGTACTGCAAAGCTTGCGCGTAGCACGTCCGAGTACTACTGTGTACTGCAAAGCTTGCACAAAGCACGTCCCAGTACTACCGTATACTACAAAGCTTCACAATACTACAGTACCTTGTGCTACAAAGCTTGCACAAAGCACTTCCCAGTACTGGTTTGTACAGACATTACAATGCGTTTTCCAGCATCACGTGGGTCACCCGCGTCTCTCTACGCACATAGCAACATAACATGGCAAAAATCATGCAGCCAGCACACTGCGATCTGCAAGCACAGACTCAAGAAACGCATAGAGGCATAGAACTACGCACACATGCACAACCACGACCCCAGCCGCACCCGCCGCACACAGGAGGTACCTTTCATCGCCGGCTGCAGCCACTTTACACGGAAAATACACAAGGTTTCGTGCTCCGGCTTCATCCCCAACACAACCCGTATGCAACATGCATGCAGGCATTACAATGTGTTTTGCAGCACCATCCCAAATTAATGTATTGTTCTGTGATGTAAAGTTTCACACCACCCTTCATTGAGTAAAAGTCATCCATAACTCGGAAGATTGCTTCCCAAATTCCTTTGATTAAAATGTCTTAATACATATATATATATATATATATATATATATAGAGATACGCATCATATATACATATATATATATACATATATATATATAAGTATATATCGTTATTTCATTATTGTTTCATTATTATAGCATTATTATTTCATCGTAAAAAATGTCATTTCATGTTTGCATCAATATTAAAAATGTATCATTGTTTGTATCATTATATCATTGTTTTTCATTATTATATCATTATATCATTATTATATCATTATTACTTCATTATTATTTCATTATTACCATTATACTTAATTTTCATAATTCATGATATATCATGATTATCCCGGTATCCCGGTGGTTCAGATCGCAGGAAGAAGCCGCGGATCTACGGAGCGTGGCAACGTCTGCACTGCGCTCTGAAGGCTATAGCGAGGCCGTGGGACGCTGATTTTCTTAACGAAAAAATGGAGGGGGAAAACAACGGCGACAGGATGACAGGGCAAAAAAATAGGCTGAAAAATCATGTTGTTTATTGGTTTGAAGACGTTCGGACATGTTACATGTTTTCCAAAGAAAATCGAACACCAAGATGGAGGGGAAAGCAAGGAACATGGAACAAAAAACAACTTATAAAAATATACTACCACTGTAGTATGAGCAGCGAGGCAGCCAAAAGAAGTGTTTAATCCTCCACATGTGGATTGTTCCAGACAAGAAGTTACCAACATGTGTGGGCCGTGGGATCTTGAACGCTCCCCGTGACTCTGGAGTGATACCAAAAGTATTCAAATGGGAGCCTCTGAGGAGCAGGGCAAGCTTTCAGCACCTTGCACCCAACACGATACTTTTACAGATATTCTTGTGTTTGGGGGTCTCTATGGGTCAAAACTGGTTTTCATTGTTTTGGGGTGTGGAATAGGACGAACCAGAAGAACTTATCATGCTGCATCCCAACAAGTAGATTCCCCTTCATTCTGAACAAGACCAGTCACCTCCAAGACAGCCAATTTGGCTGATGGTCACCCGTGCGTTTGGGTGATCTTTAGCTGAAGGCTCATCAAACCCATGCAGATGTGGCTACTTTGAAATCATGAATAGCTGTTCTGTTGTACCACCAGGCAAGACAAGATATCCTGAAGTAGCTGGAGGTGTACAGTCCATCCAGCTGTCATTCCGAGTCTTACGCCTACAGCACATGATAGTACGTGCGCAGTTTGACTTCTGGACTGCACAGATGCTTCAGTATGGCTCACACTTGTAGACCATCCAAAGGTATCTCATGCTTGCATGCCTGCCCGGTCAAACAATGCGGTCATGATGGGCCCGTATCAACAACACAGTGGACCACAATGGATTCATGTCTTGAATTTGAAACGTAATTTCTTAAGTCTTAATCATCCAATTCTATCCCAGTCTCAAATCCGTGCCTTAAATGTGGGTCCATTCTCCTTTATTTAACCCAGGAGGATGCTTGCCCCAAGCGATGTTGCCTGTCCATTCTGGACCCTGGAAGGCGCCGAAGATGAATCTGGCAAAGGAGGATGCCAAGTGGAATGCCTACAAGACGGTGGAAAATCGCTTGAGAGTACCTCACCGCAAAAAAAATGGATTGGAGTTGGCTGTTGGTGAAAGTTGATTGGATTGCCTCAATTCTGGCTATGCCACTGCAGTTTAGGTGATCAGTAGAAGATTAGAAGCATGTACTTGCTTCTCCTTAGAAGTGTTGCATATTTATTCGCGTGTATGGTTTGAAAGATGCAATTCACAAATCCCACGAATTTCCGCCGAGAGCCTTCCAAATTTGCTCGCTTTATGGTTTGGTAAATTTCAATGCTTCTCGGTAAACATTGTTTTTGATGTTTTTTAGGCCAGTTACAAGGTAAGGTTTTGGATGGTTTTGGTGTGTTTTTCGTTGTTTTAACCATTCAAAATTAGTCCAACGATTGTGGATCAAAACCAGATCTTGGTTGCTTTAATCCCAAATTTTGCTAAAATCACCATTGCCACAATCGCAATGCTGGGACGCCCAGTGCCATCAGTACCTTGGTTTGGTTCATCATACCTTTTTGTCAGAATCACATCTGTGCTGGTTAAACCTCTAAATGTCTGCTCCTAGCATATCACCATTTTGCTTAAGTCACTACTTTTTGTGGTTCAGCCATTTCAAACCTCCAGAGATCATAGATCCAGAGTTATACCATAGTAATTTAATAACTAGAAAATCACATTTTAAAAACATAGATAAGACATGGCCCAATTATCTATAGATCTCATTAAAAGGCCATTATTCTATAGGTGACATCTATGGTGACAGGCCATTTGCATCCGTTGACCATGGCTCTGTCAGGCTGTCCGCCTGGACGTCGGCTCCAGCGGCTCAAGCGCCCTGGCAGAGGACGTGGACGTGGCGCTGCGGCTGCTGGCGCAACGGCGACGGGAGCAATGCGAAGCCAAGGCGGCGGGGCGGCATCGATTTTGGAGATATGATATAAATGAATATATATATATTATAAACATAATAAGAATAATAATTAATAACAATATATCTATATAAATATATAAATATATATTATACATAATAATATATTTTATATATAAATTTAATATAGCCATAGCAGGTAAGGATTTAACTAGCAAACACGTGGTGATTCTATGGGATTTAACGGGAAAACATTGTGATTTCAACAGATTTTAACCAGCTAAGCATGTGGGATTTTATGGGATTTCAGCAGCAAAACAGTTTAATTAATGGGATTTGACTCAGACATTGGGTTTGACGATCAAATTCGGGATTTCATGGGATTTAAACAAGAACAATATGGATTTGATTCACAAAAAATTGCAATAGACCCTCCAAGCACCTAGAAAAATCATGGAAAACACACACACACATTTTGTTGACCTTGACCTATGTTCTTGCGTGGAGGTTTAAGGTAAGTACACTCCCGGGAACAAACGTGTCTCAGGCTACCGTTTCAGGTATCAACTAACATGTCCACTCTATACCGGCGTTTTCCTGGGGAATGCATTGCAACTTTCTTTTTACACATTGACCCAAAAACAGCTAGCATGTCTCAGTTCCTGCAATTGGGGCCCTTGGATTTCGACCCTGATCTGGGATATGTTAGCTATTTTTGGGGGATAGATTCAGCCAATAACCACTCACATATCTCAAAATCACATCATCTGAACAACACGGACACGTTAGGTGGACGTTTTCCATGGCCAGTAACCCTTAGTAAATGCAACTGGTTTCTGGAACACACCCCCAATCTTCATATATGACACGCTCTTCCGAGGAGTTGGGACTCTTTTTTCTGCTCGTTTTGCTATCAATGCGGTCTGGAAATAAGGATTGGAAGTGCAGTGCGTGCTCTTTCGTACCAAACTGGGACATGTTAGCAAGTTGGAAGTCGGAAACAATGAACAACAAATGAGCAGCACCTGTGCCACTTCATCTCGGATGCTGGCCATGACTTTGGGGTTCAGGGAAAACAACAGTGTTTTGACAAAAATTGGGTCTTGTAAGTGCAGTCATTCCCCGAAGAGATTCCAATATCTCAAGCTACTGAATATTGGCCTTTTCAATGTGGGGTTCCAGAAACCAGTTGCATTTGGGGCCCGTGGATTTCGACCCTGATCTGGGATATGTTAGCTATTTTTGGGGGATAGATCAGCCAATAACCACTCACATATCTCAAAACCACATCCTCTGAACAACACGGACACGTTAAGTGGACGCTTTCCATGGCCAGTCATCTAACCTTTACACCGGTGAAATCTAACATAGCGTTTTTTTAGCCCTGGCACCAACTCACAAACATAGCATCTGGCTACGTTGTCAACCCTGGGGATTTGGAGAAAGTGATCATTTGGATGATTTCTGCCAACACCTGCTAACATAGCCTCTGTTTCCGTCCTCCCAATGTTTGGCATTCCCCAGGAAGTGGGTAAAAGAAATGTACCAGAATAAGCTAACATAGCTGTCTGGAGGCTTGTCACAGCTTGGAACCACCAAATGGAAAGTGCTATGTTAGCATCAAACTCCACGGAAAACATGTTTTAGAAAACAGGAAGCCGAACACATCAATCAATCAATCTAGAATGAAAGTACCCCTGGTTGCTAGGTTAGGTGTCTCTTTTGAGTCCCCAGCCGACCAGATCAAACCACAACTGTTTTTGGATGTCTTCCTGGGGCTCACCCTTACTGGACCCAAAAAAGCTTCAAAATCAACAATTTTATATAATCGATTGAATAAGGAAAAAAAACTCCTGGTCAAAGTTGCCAATATGGCTACTTGCTACTATGATGATTACGATGTACTATTGGAAGTTTGGGAACCCTGCGCAAATGCTATGTTAGTAGTCGCCTTGGGCTCACAACCTTTCCGCCAACGCGCGCGCGCGTTAGCGGAAAACAACTCGGCCAGGCCCGAGGACTACTCCTTCCCCGTTGTGTCTTCCCCGTTTTGGGGTCGAAGTCCTCGGGCCTGGCCGAGTTGTTTTCCGCTAACGCGCGCGCGCGCGTTGGCGGAAAGGTTGTGAGCCCAAGGCGACTACTAACATAGCATTTGCGCAGGGTTCCCAAACTTCCAATAGTACATCGTAATCATCATGGCAGCAAGTAGCCACATTGGCAACTTTGACCAGGAGTTTTTTTCCTTATTCAATCGATTATATAAAATTGTTGATTTTGAAGCTTTTTTGGGCCCAGTAAGGGTGAGCCCCAGGAAGACATCCAAAAACACTTGTGCCAGTCACGATTTTCAATCCAAAACCAAAGCTTTGGCAACAGGACTACTAACATAGCATTTGCGCAGGGTTCCCAAAACCTCCAATAGTACATCATAATCATCACCCTTACTGGACCCAAAAAAGCTTCAAAAGCAACAAGTTTATATAATAGATTGAATAATTAATGAAAAAACTCCTGGTCGATGTTGCCAATCTCGCTACTTGCTACTATGAAGTACGATTAAATGCTTTTGGAACCATATATTGGTGGAAAGGCTGATGAACGCGCGCACAAACGAACGCTAACAAAGCAGTTCCCGATTGAACCTACTTGATGCTTCACACGCGCCAAGTTAGCACCAAAATGCCCATGTCACACCATGCGTTCCCAACGCCAAGTTAGTTGAATCTCAGCCCCAAAACCCAAACACTAACATAGCAAAAAAAAATAAAAAAATAAAAAAAAACTTTCAACAGGTAAGATTTCACGAGAGTAGTAAATGCAACTTGTTTTTGGAATGCACCCCCAATCTTCCTGCCCACCTCCGAGCATCATCTATGATGCGCTCTTCCGGACGGAGTTGGGACCCCTTTTTTCTCCACCGTTTTGATATCAATGCAGTCTTTGATTTGAGCCCTATTGGGGTCTGGAAATAAAGATGCTGGGGCGTCCGGGGCGGTAGTCTTCTGGCAGTTTCCCGGGAACCCCCAGAGGGGGTGACAACTTTTCCACTAACATGTCCATTCTGGACTTTCAACTAACATGTCTCAAGTGTGGGGCATTTATCTCAGCCAGCAGCTAACGTATCCAAAAAAAACACCAAAAAAAAGTGGATACGTGTCTCGGGCTACCGTTTCAAGTATCAACTAACATGTCCACTCTGTACCAGCGTTTTCCTGGATTTCCTGCGGAATGCATTGCAACTTTTTTGGGGACCATTGACCCAAAAAACAGCTAACATGTCTCAGTTCCTGCAATTGGGGCCCTTGGATTTCGACCCTGATCTGGGATATGTTCGCTATTTTGGTGGGATAGATTCAGCCAATAACCACTCACATATCTCAAAACCACATCCTCTGAACAACACGGACACGTGAAGTGGACGCTTTCCATGGCTAGTCATCCAACCCTTAGTAAATGCAACTTGTTTTTGGAATGCACCCCCAATCTTCCTGCCCACCCACGAGCATCATCTATGATGCGCTCTTCCGGAAGGAGTTGGGACCACTTTTTTCTCCACCGTTTTGTTATCAATGCAGTCTTTGATTTGAGCCCTATTGGGGTCTGGAAATAAAGATGCTGGGGCGTCCGGGGCGGTAGTCTTCTGGCAGATTCCCGGGAACCCCCAGAGGGGGGGACAATTTTTCCACTAATATGTCCATTCTGGATTTTCAACTAACATGTCTCTAGTATAGGGCATTTATCATAGCCTATGTTCACAGCAGCTAACGTATCCAAAAAAAACACAAAAAAAAAGTGGATACGTGTCTCGGGCTACCGTTTCAGGTATCAACTAACATGTCCACTCTGTACCGGCGTTTTCTTGGATTTCCTGGTGAATGTATTGCACCTTTTTGGTGCCATTGACCCAAAAACAGCTAACATGTCTCAGTTCCTGCAATTGGGGCCCTTGGATTTCGACCCTGATCTGGGATATATTCGCTATTTTGGGGGGATAGATTCAGCCAATAACCACTCACATATCTCAAAACCACATCCTCTGAACAACACGGACACGTTAGGTGGACGCTTTCCATGGCTAGTCATCCAACCCTTAGTAAATGCAACTGGTTTTTGGAATGCACCCCCAATCTTCCTGCCCACCCACGAGCATCATCTATGATGCGCTCTTCCGGAAGGAGTTGGGACCCCTTTTTTCTCCACCGTTTTGTTATCAATGCGGTCTTTGATTTGAGCCCTATTGGGGTCGATGCTGGGGCGTCCGGGGCGGTAGTCTTCTGGCAGTTTCCGGGGAACCCCCAGAGAGGGGGACAATTTTTCCACTAATATTTTCTTTCTGGATTTTCATCTAACATGTCTCAAGTATAGGGCATTTATCATAGCCTATGTTCCCAGCAGCTAACGTATCCAAACAAAAACACAAAAAAAGCGGATACGTGTCTCGGGCTACCGTTTCAGGTATCAACTAACATGTCCACTCTGTACTGGCGTTTTCCTGGATTTCCTGGGGAATGTATTGCAACTTTTTTTGGGACCATTGACCCAAAAACAGCTAACATGTCTCAGTTCCTGCAATTGGGGCCCTTGGATTTCGACCCTGATCTGGGATATGTTCGCTATTTTGGGGGGATAGATTCAGCCAATAACCACTCACATATCTCAAAACCACATCCTCTGAACAACACGGACACGTTAGGTGGACGCTTTCCATGGCCAGTCATCCAACCCTTAGTAAATGCAACTGGTTTTTGGAATGCACCCCCAATCTTCCTGCCCACCCACGGGCATCATCTATGATGCGCTCTTCCGGAAGGAGTTGGGACCCCTTTTTTCTCCACCGTTTTGTTATCAATGCGGTCTTTGATTTGAGCCCTATTGGGGTCTGGAAATAAAGATGCTGGGGCGTCCGGGGCGGTAGTCTTCTGGCAGTTTCCCGGGAACCCCCAGAGGGGGGGACAACTTTTCCACTAACATGTCCATTCTGGATTTTCAACTAACATGTCTCAAGTATAGGGCATTTATCATAGCCTATGTTCACAGCAGCTAACGTATCCAAAAAAAATATTTTCCACAAAAAAAGTGGATACGTTTGTTCCCTAGAGAGTATTGGTTCTTAACAGAAAACGATCCAGTTATGGTGATAGCATTTTGGTTATATTGGGAACGTTGAGAACATGTGGTACTTTAAGCGGCAACATTGGAAAATTATGGAAAACTGGAATATAATGAGATATAAAGAACCCACTTAGTATGGGTGATGATTAAAGGGTAATTTAACTTTTCAGACAACCCAAAATTACTGGGATTTGCCGTTCACGGGCTTTGACCTGCAAAATGGTGAGTTCACAATCCCAAATAGGGGTCCATAATGGGCCCCAAGACTTGATTGGATCTATACATCAATTAAATTATCTGTATATATAATGATAAATAATTACACATTATTATTTGGATATCCAGATGTGTTTGCTCATGTCTGCATACATCATTGACAATGTGGCATGTGTGCGCGCTCCCATTGTAAATGGGCGCACCCTGCAGGCCATGGCGCGGGCACCCCGCGCTCCAACCCGCAGCGTGCCAGCGGGGTCAGATCCAGCCCTTCGGATGGAGGCACAAACAGGGGGCCAGGGGACCATCCCCATCAAAGATACGGATTTAATGATGGTGAAAGACAGATTTAACAGTATTAACTGATGGTTACATCTGTTAAATATCTGTTAATCTGTCTGGGATTTAACTGAAAGATAGATTTAATGATTTAACAGATATTTACCCATCCAAAAAGGTACATTGGACAGGATTGAAAGCAACAAATTGTGGGATTTTCCCGGCGCACAATAGGGAGGGATTCAACCAACAGGAGAGGATAATAGAGGCTTGAACATGATAGGACTACGAGCATCACATAGCATCACTTTGCTTGACATGTTGTTATCGCAATGCTGCATCAACCTCCCACAAAGCAGACCGGAGGCAATCCAAGGTATCCAAGCCCCTTTTCAGGGCCTGTTCCTTGCACCACTGCACCACTTGTGGATTTACATGTGATGTTCAAGACCATAAGGATTCCTTCCTCGACTGACTGGGCTGAATCTGAGAAAACAATGCATTTGAAAGAAAAAACGCTGAACAAAAAAACATTGAAAACAATGGTTTCCCTCATAGCATCAGTTCCAACATGTTTTTTTCTGACATCAATCCATTGGAAAGCAAATTTGTTGATTAAATCTTTAAATGTCTGTCTTCATTACACCAGCTTGTTTTTATTGTTTGTGACTTCATGATGTTTGAAAACTCTTGTGGCTTAAATCTTCGTTTTTCCTCGGTGAAATCCACCGGTTCCGCGGGGAAAATCTGCGGCCAGGTGCGGCACCAGGCGCGGGAGGCCGCGCGCCAGCGCGCGTCCAAAGCGGGACGCGCCGCCGCGGGAGGTGCAAAAGCTGGAGGTGAAGATATTTCTTGGGTGGTTCACCCGAGTTTTTTTGTGATATAGTTGAACTATTACTAATAATAATAATAATATATATATATATATATATATCGTAGAATTATATATATTTTTTTTCTTATAGATATGATAGATATGATAGATATGTAGCTTTTGGTTGACTTGATGAAGCGGTATGTGGGATGTTTTGTGGAATATAGGGTAGAATATTCTGGGAGCTGGTTGAACTGAGAAAATTACTATGACCCAAGCACCATGGGTCCCTCTGGTAATTTAACAGTTTGCGAACTGGACAATCCACAATTTTTAGTAGGTAAATCAACTATAAATGGGTCATTTTCCAATATAGCAAACTCTTAAATTACCAGAGGCTACTGTATGGGATTTTAGATATGTACATATGTTGACCTGGGATGCTATGGGTTTAGCATCATTTACCTCAGGCACCTGCTATTCACCCATGACATCATAAACCCAAGAATCAACCACATCCAGAGGGGGTGTTATATCTATATTCCTTCAAATCTCGAACAACATGGCTTTTTATGTTCAATTGTCAACCCTACATGTACCGGTCAATTCCTTTGATCTAAATGGCTTCCGGGTGCGTATGGTTTTAATGAGCCCCGTTCTTTTGCATTGAATGCGGCAAGATTCTCAAACCAAATGATTGCTAGAATGCTGGTCGCCCAGTCGATTGGCGTCGAGTGAATTTTGCACGGTGCCTCTTTTTGCGCCTCTGATTTTGGATGATTTTGGAGAAAATTACTCCAATGGATCATCGCATCATCACATTTCGCCAGTGGGCTCGTTGTTTGCTGTGTGCCATCTCTATACCTGAGGTGAATAATCGTTTCGCCCCAAGAATGCACACCTCAAAGGGCGACTCCAGAATTAATCCACCATCCAACGGGGTTTTCTTGCAGTTCCTGGGATGAGATGACTTCACCATCAAGACCGGCTGGCAGAAAAAGGCTCAAAAGATGACACAAAAAGCATCTGCGCCGGCCACACCATGGGCGCGTGTGGGAACAAGGCAGCGCTAACCAACAGTCGTGAAGTACGACTAGGTGACCTGAAGAACAGCTATCAGCAGCTCAGCAAAATTGGGGCCACAAGTTGAGGTCCTTGGATGTAAATATTGGGCGTGATCCCGGAAAATCAAACTCCTAAACAGTTGCCATTGCCCAAGAATGAGAGCACAACCAAGCCCCACAAAATGTTTTCTTCATGGACTGTGATAACCCCCCATCCAGAATCGTGGAAATGGTGGCAGCCAAGGAGCCATGATCTTCATATCATAGGGATTCAAATCCATCAAAGTTGACACCCCCCAGTAGTATCATCAGATTACCCCTTCTTGGTGGTGGTGTTTTTTTACCGAGGCACACGCCGCTGAATGATGGCGCCTCTGCGCATTGAACTTGGCGGCCTAAAAAAACAGGGTGTTCTGTGTAAACCCGCGGCCCTGATGAAAAGGGAAAACAATGGAACCCCTAGGGGTTGACATAGTATACTATAAGTATCTATAGTCTATCATATACATAAATCCTGCGCATATATTAGTATAGATATATGCACATATATACACACACACATATATATATATATATATCATACATATACATGAAAAAGCAATCAGGGGTGGTTTTCACTGGATATATCTATAGCTGGATAGGTTTACATACCAACGTTAGGCGCCAAAGCCAGCAAGGCTCCACACCCTTGGGAACGGCCAATGAGAAGCTGGACATCGTCCAATTTGCCTCAGCCATCTTCGTGGCCGAAGAGGGGCAGGACTTGATCGATCTTGGTCGGGGCCGAAAATGGCTGATTGGCCTATTGATTTCATACATGGTATGATATGAATCGATGTGTAGTATATGAGTTTTTTCCCCACCTGCCAGGTGAGGGTTGTTAGATTTTATTCGAGTTGTTCTCCTCCTTCTCCTTCTCCTCCTTCTTCTCCTCCTCCTCCTTCTCCTCCACCACCTCTGCCTTCACTTCCATGTCCACTTCCGCCTTGCCAACTCTTCGCCAAGCTCTTCGCCAACTTCCGCACGCAGTTGGCACTGCTGGACCTCAACTGCAAGGGTCTGAGCGCACTGGGCACCGCTGGACCTCAACCTGGGACCTGCCGAGTTGAGTGAGGAGCGCTGGACCTCAACCTGGGACCTTCCGAGCTCAGTGAGCACCGCTGGACCTCAACCTGGGACCCGCCGAGCTCAGTGAGCACCGCTGGACCTCAACCTGGGACCCGCCGCGCTCAGTGAGCACCGCTAGACCTCAACCTAGGACCTTCCGAGCTCAGTGAGCACCGCTGGACCTCAACGGCCAGATAGAATGCCAGAAGATATGCCAGATAGAACGCCAGATAGCATGTCAGATAGAATGCCAGAAGATATGCCAGATAAAATGCCAGAAGATATGTCAGATAGAATGCCAGAAGATATGCCAGATAGAATGCCAGATGGTATGCCAGATAAAGTGCCAGAATGTTTGCCAGATAGAATGCCAGAATGCCAGATAGGATGTCAGAAGATATGCCAGAAGATATGCCAGATAGAATGCCAGATAGAATGCCGGAAGATATGCCAGAACATATGCCAGAAAATATGCCAGATAGAATGCCAGAAGGTATGCCAGATAGAATGTCAGATAGAATGCCAGAAGGTATGCCAGATAAAGTGCCAGAATTTTTGCCAGATAGAATGCCAGAAGATTTGCCAGATAGAATGCCAGGTAGGATGTCAGAAGATATGCCAGA